TGTCGTTGTCGTTGTCGTTGTCGTTGTCGTTGTCGTTGTCGTTGTCGCATTTCTGCCAAGAAAGAAACGAACATATGCTTCGCCAAGAAACGGTACCGACCATACATATTATACCGAGATGAAAGTCATTTTTTCTTGTTTCTCTGTGAATAGCTATGCTGTGTCTATTTATCAAGCACTCTTTTGCTCTAACAATGTATGAGTCCTTAACATCAGGTATTCGTCTATAAAGTACTCACATCGCGTTCATCACATTGAGCGCACTGAAGAGAGAAGATTGAATATGAGAAGAGAAAAAAAACGCGCTACTCGATACTATAAATATGGTATGTGTTTCGCGCGAGTATTGTGTATAACGCGCGTTCATACATATATGCGGCCTCTTGAGAAACGAGAGCCCAAAGAGTGAAATATATTGAAACGATGAAATATATTGCGGCTGAGTCATACATCATCATCATCTGCGTTATTTACATCTTTGTTGTTGTTGTATTTTTGTTTCTCTCTCTCGATGTTGCTGTTGCTGTTGCTGTTACTACTGATGATTTTGTGCTGTAGTCAATGTTGTCTGTTTTTTTTTAATTTCTGAATTCATATTCCTTTTATTTTTCGTCTGTTCTTTGCTTCTTTGAATTGTACTTCAATTTCGTTGAATTTGTTCGTTTCAATTTAGTCAATAACGCCAGATATTCGAGTTGACAAGCATTGGGTTTGATTGAATGGAACATCACCAATGGTCATTTTCTAAACACAATTTACATATATTCAGAGACTAGCATACACAAAATGAAACATAGACACAGACCAACATCGGAGCGAGAAAAGAAATACAGACAAACACCGAAAAATTTGTGCCTCGTTGCAATGCAACTTGAAATATTGTTGGGAAAAAAACAGCAACACAAGAGATGATCGGATGTTATCATTTTCGGTTTTCATTTGTTCAATTAATGAAGAGAATTCAAGTGGTTTGGTTGGCATTGTCGAAAAATAAATCTAAGCCCTTTCTAATATAAATGATCGTTGGCTGGAACAGAAAACCAAAAAAAAAAAACTGAAGAAGATAAAACAACACTTACCTAATGGCATGAATCTTAACACTAAGCATGGTGAGTCTCTTTTGATTCGCATTTTCATTTCACTAGTTTGTTCACTTGCGACAAGCTCGGTCAATTCGAATTCCAAACGAGCGCCACCGCTGGAAATGCTCGAAAACTTTCACAATACAACCAATGAATGGTGTTGCTCCTCAATGAAATTTCTCGTCGTCACACAAACACAAATGCTTCTTTTTTATTTTCAACATTTAACGATTGACATAACCATTCGGAATATCGGATATCAAATGCAATCGAAAAAATCCAAAATGAATGTATAATCAAGTGGCTGTATTGAAATTAAATGGATTCGGGTATATTCAAATTAATCCAATCGGAGAGTTCTTTGGATAGAACTGTGCTGGCTTCGTTATTCTTTTTCTTTCGTTTCGTTTATCAGTTGAGGAGGAAAAACCTTTTAATTTTTCTTCCCAATTTATTATGTCAAATGCACTTCTCGGTTGTTATGTTACTTGGTTCGGTTTTGTCGTTGGTTCTCTTTTAGTATCGTATTTTTTTTTGATTTATGTTTTCCGTTCTGACGTTAAAAATCTGGTGCTCGATTTTCTAGTTGACTCTTCTCTTAAGATTTTTCTCTTTTGCTTCTTCTATTACTGTTGTTTTAACACACCAATTTAGTGGAACTTGAACTTTTGATATTTTTTTTCTCCTTATTTATTTCACAAAAATGAAAATCTCTCGCTTCTCTGCAATTGTATTTATAATTTTGGCAATTAATCTCGTTTTGTTTGCCCACACTGATGTTCTAATTTCTCAATTCTGTAGCTGACTGAATTGACAAAACTGACACAAAACGGTTTAGCTTTCAAACACTTGAACAGAAATGAAATAACATTATTTCTACTCGAATTTCTCTCTCGGAAAAATTACACACTGTTTATTTGTCTAAGTTTCGGTTAGAAATTCTATTTCAATTTTTCCATTGGTCTGTATGTTATATAAAAGCAGATAATTGGTTTCAATCAAAATGAAACGAAATCGAATGAACGATGTAGTACACTCGAATAGTAAGAAAAAATTGTTGGGATTTGTATATAAAACACTGTCGACTCTAAAACGGTCCGCGTGTGATCGTTGCGATAGGTACAAGTTGAATAAATGCTATGCTTGCGAACACGAATTGATGTAGTCATGAGAGCCGTACATACGACCGTGTGTTGTGTATTTCTCATCGACGTTGTTGTTGTTGTTGTTGTTGTCGTTGTCGTCGCCGTCGTCGTAGCCGTTGCTGCTTTTTTTTTTCATTTCATCACACTCATCAGTAGGCCAGATTGTGTGTGAGTGTGTGCCTGGTGCTGTCTGCATGTGTGCGTTACGTGTGACTCGTCTCATGAATTTTGTGTGTCGTATTCAAACTGCGAGCAATGTTGCTATTGCCCAATGCGGCTCGTGTGCGCATGTATTTGTACACTACGCTACGTATAATGAAACGAAATGTTTACTATTTGTTTTTCTTACTATCCCATTCTTGCCTTGGCACAACTGGCTGCTCATGATATTGTCTGTTTCGCTACTTTCATCTCTCTCTCTCTCTCTCTCTCTCTCTCTCTCTCTCTCTCTCTCTCTCTCTCTCGCTCGCTCTTCGTAGTAATCGAAGTGCATCTCTCTACTATTGTGTGCAATGCACAATGTTTGGATTGTTGTTACGATGGGTCCTTCACATCTATCACACGTGGATCATAAGGTGAAAAATAACAACAGACACACAGTGATAATGGGGAAGCTGGTGCAAAGGTACCACCATCTCGATTGGGCGGCACTATTTGCCCGGATTTTTTCGCCCGAGACACACAGTGAGACACACAGTACGCATGCAATTCGCTTCAATTCATCATTTGCGGTGTTAATGATAAATAGCGGCAGTCATCACTCATACAACATTTCTACGGTATTAGTCATTTGCACCGATTTTAAATCTGTCTATTTTCTCTCTCGCCTATTTCCTTACGCATTAAATGGCATTTCGCGTTTTATTTTTAAATTGGCTAAATTTATGAAAAACTCACTCAACGGTGGGAATATATATATTCAAAGTCTCACATGTGGCACACGATTGATGCCGACTTCAAAACCAAAAATAGGTAATAAATATAGATTTTTTCAGCAGATTAGTCGCAATAGTCATGTGTTCGTGTGTACGCGCAAACGATAGAAATGTAAGAAAACGAACCGAAAACATAACGTTTACAATTCCAATTTTTCTTCATCTTTTCCTTTTTTTTGAACGCACATCATGAGAATGTGAATCGGTTTGTTTTTTTTTTTGGCAAGTCACAACACACATTCATCAATTATACAATACATTTCTAAATATTCGAAAATTCGCAACATGCCACAAAGAGACAGCGAATTTGATTTTCTCGACGCATCACATGTGTCCCATTTGAAATTGCGCAGTGCGCTCTCTCAGGTCAAATGATCGTTCATAATCCTTGTTGTTTTAAAACTAAAAATAAAAATCAAAACAAAAATCCAAATCAAACTTTTTTTTCTGAGTTGAAAAACGTTTTTCGGCGTGTTTTCTTTTGCTCTCGACTTAGTCTTATGTTTTGATTTTTCATCTCGATCTCTGTCACTCCGTCTCACTCTCTTTCCCTCTCTCTGGCAATAAACGGGAAATTAATTTAGCACTAGACCCACAACGTAGAAAATATTGTTTATATAAATAAGAGCAAAAGCAGCGAGAAAGAGAGAGAGAGAGAGCAAAAATTAAAGAGCACGCGGTTATGAGAGTTGAGAAGAAGGATGAAAATATTTAAAAATAGTATGAAATGTAAATTAGTCAAGATCGGTTGACAGAGACTGTGTGTAAAAAAAGAAAATACAGCCGATAAATTTGTCGAATAGTCAAAAGTCAACATAGCACCAACTATGCACGTCAAATTTTTGGGAGTATATCGGCATGGTGATTTTTGTTTTGGGGCGTACGCTCGCGCTCATGTGTGTTTCCTCTCCTTCTGTCTCTGTTCCCTTCGAATACGAGACGAAAAAAAAAATTTGGCGGGCGCAACTGAAACGGCAAATTTTGTGCTCAATTCCAATTTCTTCTGATCTAAAATTAATTCGAGAAGAATATTTTCGGTACGATACAGAGAGAGAGAGAGAGAGAGAGAGAGAGAGAGAGAGAGGCAGGGACAGCGTGTGTAAATGCGGGCATACGGTCGTTTGGTCGGGCACAGTATGAATCATCACCAAAAACCCTATATCACATTGAGTGAGAGCTAGCTGCAAAGCATACCGTTCATTCCATACGTTCATAAATGCACACACAACACTCAGACACACTCTGTGCGCGCACACGATATGCACACATACACAGAAAACCGAGAGCCATAGAGAGCGAGAGACGCACACAGCAACGGATTGAGCTTCAAGTGAAATAGTCTGTACTCTCTCTATACGTTGGTCGTGCTCTGTGTTACTCATACTGTGTCTGCGCTTCGACCGAAAATGCATGATACACGCTACTCTCGGTAAGGCAAACGGGGCAAATGTACACATGTGCCAACCATAAACACAACCAGAGCAATACGAATATGCTGGCGCATACACACACATGCACGTACACAAACATTCTGCTCGGTCTGTGTGTGCCGTTCGTCGCCTGTGCTTCGTATACGGGCCGAGCAATTTAAACGTAACGTCAGACACGAATCATGACTCATTCACTCGGTAAACTAAACGTACTGAAATTGAAACAGCGCACACAATGTACACAGCGCGCCTATCAATAGAAACTTTACCGATGAACATAAAAACAACTGTAACGCTATAATCCTCATCGTTTTACGAGAGAGAGAGAGAGAGAGAGAGAGAGAGAGAGAGAGAGAGAAAGAAAGAAAAAAAGACGTATTCGAAATGCTACCTTGAAACATCCATGTATCGGCATCCATAGAAATTGATGAAAAACGAAAATGGATCGAACAGTTTTCCTTTTAAAAATAGGTTCGGAAGCAGTAGTTTTCTTTTCGAAAAAAAAAATAATTTTAACGAGAGAATTTGCTCTTGCCAAAAATTGCAAAAAGCCATACTTTGAAATCATTCTTATCACCATATTGTAATCATGATTGCAGGCGGAACTGTGTGTATTTCAAATGGCAGCCGAAAAAACAGAATGTTGGCAGATTTTTCTCATTAGCCCAACAATTGTCATTCATACATTATAATGTATATGACAATTGCAAAATGAATTTAATTTTTTTCGAGGGAAATGCGAGAAAATCGCATGTTTGTTTCATTGCATGTCTCATCATTATTAATCGGAACATCAATTCGAAAATTAGATATTTATCAGGTGCATACGCATATGGTATAATTCACAAGGACGGATATTTTAGTAACGCATATATTGTGTTTTTTCATAGGAAATTTCCCCAAATCGCTGCTTTATTAGTCAATTTATTGGTGTGCCTGTTAATTTGTTTCAATTTTTTTTCGTATTCATTTAAATCACAAAAGTGTTTTTATTTCCTTATCAGCATGACAATTGCTCTTGTGATCGATGGTATCAAAGTACTGGCGAAAAGTGTTTTGAAAAGTGTCAATTGTTCCAATCTGTATGGCAATCCGTTTTATCTGTACGGCAACAGTGGTGGAATAATTGGAATCGGACATTTTTGGCCAACAAAATGATCATCGTTATTTCTGTTCGCACACAATAATATGTCCAATTTTTGTACGGAATGAAAGACCAGTGGTAAATTTCACGTGCTATCTCAAAAGCTACTATGAAAAGATTAATTTGAAAATGATTAGATCAAGTGGCCGAAATTCGCTCGACGCACAATTCAATAACATTTATGCTGAAATGAAATTCAACAATTCAAAAGATTGTAATTTTATTCGAAACGAAAAAAAAGCGTTCCACTGGGACCGGAAATGCGTACGAGTATGAGTATGAGTTTACTCAGGGAGGCCTGCTCATATTTCATCATTTCAATTCTTGATAAGGGACGAACGATTCCGATAATAGTTCTTATTCATGTAGAGTAATTGTCCCGGAAATGGGAACATATCACTAATACGGCGAGAATGTTGAGAATGTTGGCGGTTTCCGTATGTTGAAACCATGTTCTAAAATAAATGGTGCTACAATTTTTTAATCTGACGCATGTGATTCGTATGACAGCAATTCTTGTAATTTCTTAATCATTCATCGTACGCATCACTCAATGACGAATTTACGTTTCCAATAAATCTCGTGATGATTCTCATCGCCAGGGTGAGAGAGAGAGGGAGAGAGCGCGCGCGCATGCGGTCAACCTGAACGACAACGAATTTACAATTCGCATATTTTATTTGTGCGAAATTTTTTTTCTTGTAAATATACCTATAATATACATGTGCGGTGACCTTCACACGTTTCAAAATTATGCAGATAGTGTCGTTGGCAGCACAAGAAAGTCAACAAAATTTCATCATACTTCGATCAAGTCAGCCCAGTCCAGTCGGATGGGTATTCGATGCGAAAAAACAGAACAGGCGACAAGCAAAAAACCGGAATTACTTTAGTAAACAGAATTGTGTTGCTTTTAGTGGTTCATGTTGTAAAACTATTGTCTCGGTGTTCATAAAAAAAAATAAAGAATAGACCATACAAATGAGTCATGCTGAGTGTCTTCACAAAAGTCTTTGTCTGGTTGTCTTTATTGTCACAGTTCTGGGTCGAGTTGTCAGCTATTTTTTACAATTACAGCGGAAATTCGGCAGGGGGAAATATAGTAAAACCAATTGACACATGCTTCCAATTGCAGACACTTAAATTCAACTGTTGATCGTCATACATCAGCAGCAGCGATGACGGCGGCAGTGGCAACAACAACTACAAATACGATGAATCAAATAATAAAAGTAAGAGTTAAGTCGACCGTTAAATGTACGTTAAAAGTTCAATTCGATAAGTTGCATCGGCCATAGCAACAGAACTGTTTTCAGTATGAGTCATTTTTTATGCATTCTCAGCTTGATTTCGCCTATCTCCATTACAATGTCGTCCAAGTGTAAAATAGTCGAGTCTAGGAAATTAGAACAGACTGAAAAGAGAGAGAGAGAGAGAGAGAGAAAGAGAGAGTAAGAAATCCGCCTAGCGCCTAAAGTATCTTTATCGAATTTACAAGAGTCGACAGTCGGCAGGATATGGCATTCGACGTAACAATGGAAATGCGAATCGAGAAGACA